AGGTGTAGTAGTACCTCTTCGGGCTCTTGTACACCTTTTTCTTGCTACGTGTGCGTGTTCTTTAGATCCTCAGATGGCTCCAGCACTTTCGTGACCACGGGCCGAGAGTCTTTGCTAGATTTTGGCATTTAGCAACTGGCATACGGTTTAATGTGAAGTCAACAACAACAACAACAACAACTCCTTGTGTTGACGATTTTTTTTTTTTTCGGAAACGCATGTATGTGAATCGCGGGGCGTGGAAAGATTTCGTCCATCAGCGCACTCCCCCCTCTCCTTGTTTAAGCGAGTGGTACGCCCCCCCGCTCCTCAGCCGCGTGGCTACACCTTTGTGACGTGTTTGATTTAGTTCGCTTTTATTGTTCCTTGCACCCGATGCGTTGCCGTGTGTGTGTGGTCGCGACGCGGTGTTTCGTCATCGCGATGTGTAACTAAACTCCATTGGGAGGCCTGATCTTCCTAGCATACACTTCTCTGAAACAATCCAAAAGTAACTTCCGGAAGCTCGCGGCGGGTACGGTCCTATTTAACCATGAAGTAACTCGTTGTTGCCATCTGATCGCTCCCAGTCGATAATTTGGAAGCAATACCGATTGCTTCGGGCAAATTGGTCAAAACTGCCGATTGAAATCATGAGTTTGTTTTCATGCAGAACAGCAGTACTCACTTTTTTTTCTTGGAAACAGAACAAATTCATCTCTTCCACAACGAACGAAGTCTGGCGTATTATAGACTTTTTTGTATACAATAATGTCGCCCGTCCGTGTCGTCGATCTGGTTGGATGAATCCCATCGGGAAGCTTTAGAGTGTAGGAGAGCGAGTTGGATGCGAGTACATGCATATTCAAAGTAGACTATATATATAATAGTAGCGTCGAGCACGCTTTTCTACGCGCTCGATCTTTTCAGAAAGTAATGTCACAGAAGACTAGACTTCTGTTTTGCAAGGCAAGTTTTTTTTTTTTTATGAAAGTTTTTCAAAAAAAAAATGAAGTCGTCTATTCATGGAAAAGATTGAAACCGCCGCACTTCGATCGCGCCGCGTGATCGATCGCCTGTCTCCCGTCTCCGTTTGTGCGGCTGAAATTCACGGACGAGACAAATCAAGCGAGGACCGCGGACGCCGCCACCTTCGGCACTGATTGCCCACACAACAGTGCTCGAGGATCATTCACTGCAGTGATGGTAGAACTGCAGGTCCAGCGGTGGCGCTCCCATCGCCGACGTGGGTACATTATTACACATTATGATGCCTGCCCAATCATGTAGACTATTACTGCAGACTAGTTTGCAGGAACAATCTCTCTTCCTAGCATCAACAATAAACACATGTTTGTACGATGCGTGTAGCGGTACATTACAGCAGCTGTTCCCATGGTATGGCGAGTGCATACTTCGGTGCTGAGTCCGACCCCCGGGTAAACCCTCCTCGCAGATCTCGTCCAAGAAGCTCACGACCCGAACAGTCTCCTGCACGAGGGATTTGGCTATGTCGGGAGATGTGGAGCAGGCGGTGTTCCAGGCGAGCTAGTGAGCGAGTAGAACCCTTTCCCGCGTATGTATGTACCGTAGCCTACTCATGCGGCCCAGCTCGATCTACGATTTCCTGCTGTTGATCTACAGTTTACTGCAAAGAGAAACGCAGATCCCCTCACCCCATTCACCATGTGACATGCTGTATGAATCCGCATTGAGCAACATTTTTTCACTGTTGATCATCCATTTATTCACAGCGGACCCGCTTCTCCCCGACGATCGAGGACGCCGACACCTCACGATGGCCGGTTCTGCTACCGAACAATTCCGCCCTTGTCGAAGGGTGCTGACCCCGGGCTTTTCCGGAACGGAGCAGGCCCGCCCACAGGGACTGGCGAGAATCGAGCCCTCTCCGCGTGTGACTCCCAGGCCCACCGGCCTCCGCACGAACGCGAAGGCATCGCGCCGATCTGGATATGACATTCCAGACCCAGGATTGGTGGTAAGGGGTCGCACCCGGTCCAGCCTGCAGAAATACTTTGTGGGTGTGTGTGGGGGTTCGGTTCGGTGAACGGCTGAATGACAGGAATCAAGTCTTCCCTTCCGCAATTCCTGCCAGACATAACTCCGACTTTGCGGCGCGTCGTTTGTACTGGAAAAGGGCAGTGACTGTGGAATTTCGACGTACTGTAGTAACACCTACAACTACCTGGCGCCTCTTGAGCGTTGATACACATGTCAGCTGGTAGTGGTTAGCTCACGGCGCGCGGCGCGCATAGCAGTGTATATATTAGTCTATAGTAGGAATATCGTCATAGTGTACTCTCCCATCGTCGTTGTGGCAACGAATCGTGCTCATGCCTTCTCACCTCTCCACTTCCCCCCCCCCCCCCCCCCCC